ATGAATTTGATGGGTATCTCAGATTCTAAGATACTTCCCCCATCAACTTCAGTCATGGTCCTTGTCATTGTAGACTAAGGCAGTGAAAACTACAAGATCAAAGACTGGAAGCAACTGATTTGTTGTGAACCCTTCAAACCAGAGTCTAGCCCTTAAACTTTGGTTTTCATCAACTTCAAACAATGTCCAAACCACCAACTATTTCTGATAATTCTGTAACAGCTACTAGATGTCAATTAACAACTAAGTGGGGAGAGCTTGTGGAGTTTTCCTGCTGCTGACTACATGCTGGGATAAGTGAGTGTAAGAGTGTGTAAAATGCGACTGGAGTGAAATCTGTGTTACACTTGCGCAGCATCACAATCTGCCAACTCTACACCCTTCCTGCAACTCCTCCAAAGTTTTTATCAAGTTGTTCATGGGATGTCAATGTTGCTGGCTCAACCTACTTCTATTTGCCAAGGAGCAAATAGCAATTTAGAGAGCAATTCTCTTTCTTTAATCTCACTGAGAGACAGTGTGCCTACATGATCGTGTTCACCAAAAGAATGTTCACTGAAATCTATCACCTTTAGCAGGGACCCTTCCAGATTCAGACTGGGGTAAAGGTAACATTTCCTCTAAATTTGAAGGTGACTACAACCATGCATTCCTTTATATCTGATCCATCCAGGCTAGGGCAGACAAGGGAATCGGAGTTCATTATTCTTTGTTGTAGAAGGAAAATGATTGGCTCACTCTAGGCAAAGAGAGCCAAATAGATTGCCTTCCATCTTTCCCTTAAGCAGCAGACCTCCCCATGATGCAGGAATTGTTGACTGCATATTTTGTTTTGTTTACACCACATCTAAGTTCAAAGATGTTGCACAATTACAAAAGGTTCCATTCCCTCAACATACAGCTGGTCTGTGGCTATGCTCAGTGCATGATGCAGGTCACTATCTGCTTTGCTAGTGTGCTGTACTATCTGCATTTGAGCCACCATAAGAACCCACACAGTGGCTATGAGGTTAGTGGATACCTGCTTACTGTTTGTCTTAACCCACACAGGTGGGCGTCATGCTATTAGGAACCGCAATGCTCAAGTTAAAGGCACCTCAAAATAAGCATCCAAACAACTTTATCAAACAGACTATCCAATTTTATAAACAAAAGTCAGCTTAGCTCTTTAGTCTCAACTTCTGTGTCTTTTTAATTCACTTGTAGGAATCCGGCATTCCTGGCTGGCCAGCATGTATTGCCCGTCCTTAGCTGCCCTTGAATTGAGTGGCTTACTAAGCCATTTCAGATGACAGTTGAGAGTCAACCACATTGCTGTGGGTTGGAGTCACATGTAGGCTAGACCAGGTGAGGATGGCAGATTTCATTCCCTGAAGGACAGTAGTGAGCCAGATTTATTTTTGACAATCAACAATGATTTCATGGTCATCAGTAGATACTTCATTGCAGATTGTTTAAAAGTAAAGTTCCACCATCTGCCATGGCAGGATTCATACTTGGGTCCCAGAAGATTAGCTGAGTTTCTGGATTAGTTATCTGGCGATAATCCCTTAACAAGGCCATCATCTCCCAAAGGGGAAGTTTTGTGTTCCTGTATAGTAACTGCAGGTCAAATACTTATGTCTTTTAATGGGCATGATGACAGATGGTTTTGCAGGATGACTTCCGGTAGCTCTGCCCTTAGAAGGCCATCTAATAGCAGTACCACCTTGGCCTGAATAGCATTAGTGTGGGTTGTGTTGGGAAGTTGACTGACATAAAAGCAGTCAGCAGATTTATCCTCTGTGAAACTACTGTCACTCCCTCAGGGTGACAGCCTGCAAGTCCTAGTAAGGTTCTAGAGGATATATTAGACCCTCTGAAAACTCCATAGGACGTCAGTATCTGCAAGTGTGATGGCGGAAGTCTGAGCTTCTAACTCCAGTATTAAGAATTTTTGTTGTTTTATCTTATGCTGTATTGAAAGACATCAAGCAACAAACCCTTGGTTGGCTTTTGGTTTAGGCATAACTTCAATGTTGGAAAGATTAAGCTTCAAACTGTGCAAATTATGTGCTAGGTTGATGCTGGATTTGTCCATGATTCTTGGTGTTTTCTGGCAAGATCACAATTACACTGGATATTTCTTCATCTTGTCTATTAAATTCTGGAGTCGCAGTTTTACAGCATGGAGAGAGGGCCTATGGCCTATTATGTCTGTGCTGGCCATCAAACGCCTTTCTCGTCTCATCCCATTTTCCTGCACTTGGCTGATAGCCTTCATGCTATGGCATTTCAAGTAATCATCTAAATACTACTTCAATGTCATAATGGTTCCTGCCTAGATAACAATTTTAGTCAGTGGGTTCTAGACACCATTGCTCACTGGGTGGAAAAAATTCTTCCTTTATTCCCCTGTAGATCTCATGTCCTTTTTATCTTAAATGTATGTTCTCCTGTTAATTGATCCCTCTTCTGAGTGGAAATGTTCCTTCCTATCTAATCTATCAGTGTCCCTCATTATTTTGTACATCTTGATTAGGTAGCCTTCTCTGCTGTAAGGAAAACAACCTTTTGAGTTTTTCTTCATTGTTGCAACCCTGGCAATGTCCTGGTGAATCTCCTCTCTAATGCAACCACATCTTCCTTAGAGTGCATGCTGTACTCTAGAAGTGGTTTTTCGAGCACCTTATATGGTTCCATCATAAGTTCCCTGCTGTTGTACTCAATGCCTTGACTAATAAAGGCAAATATCTAATATGCTATCTAAACCATTTTATGTACCAGTTCTGTTCCCTTCAAGGATCTGAGATGTGCATACCAAGGTCTCTCTTATCATCCGTACTTCATGTCCTACCATTTATCATCTACATCCTTGCTTCGTTAGTCTTCCCAAAATGCATCAGCTCACACTTTCCCGTATTAAATTCCATTTGTCATCTCACCAGCGTGTTTATATTGCCCTGTCGTCTAAGGCTTTCCTCTCACTATTGACCACACCACCCATTTTTGTGTTGTCTGTGAACTTCAAGCCTCCTACATTTATGTTTAGGTCATTGCTATTCACTGCAAATAGCAAGGAACCCAGCAGTGAACACTGCGGGTGCCATTGGACGTAAGCTTCCACTCACCAAAGCAATGCAATTTTTCATCCTCTGCCTCCAGCCACTGAGCCTGTTTTTGAATCCAATTTACCAAATTGTCCTGCTTCCCATGGGCATTTACCTCTTGACCAGTTTCTCATGTGAGACCCTATCAAGGCTTATCAAACTGCAAATAGACAGCATCCACTGCATTACCCTCATTGACAATCCAAGTCACCTCCTTGAAAAACTTAATCAGACTTGCTCGCATGACCACCCTGTGACTAAGCCATACTGACTATCTTTGACAGTTGTTGCCTCTCTTTGTGGAGATTAAGTTTGTCCCTCAGAGTATTTTCCAATAACTTTCCTACCACTTTTTCTTGCTGGCTTACAATTCCTGATTTATTCCTATCACCATTCATGAATAGTGATATGATATTAGCTGTCCTGTATTCCTCTGGCACCCTTCCTGAGGCCAGGAACAATTTGAAAATTAATGTCAGATTTACTACAATCTCCTCCCTTGCCTCCAATAGCACCCTGGGATGCATCTCATCTGGGCATATACAATCCTGTATGTTCCTCAATATCTGGGGTTCTCTGGATTTTTTAGTCCTACTCTTCACTTATTTACAGGAACATGTTGGCCCTACACTCTCTATTTCCAGTTTGAAAAATTTCCACTGCTTTGATGTAAATATTCCTACAGGTAACTCCTGTAAGTAAAGTAATTCAAAATGTTTGTCTATATTGGTTTCCTGTATGCTTCTCCATGGAGTTCTTCTTTTGAGAGCTCTGTATGAGAACTTCCATACTTGCCCCTTTCCTGGATGCAAGAAACTCATTCTCTGTATCTCACCATCTACAATTCCTGCCTTTGCAGTACCCTCCAAAGTGTGTGAGCTGATGGTTCCCTGTATGAAATTGAAATGGTGTTCCGTCCTCATTACTCTCTCCTTCTTGTACTTATGTATGCTGACTTTCAAACTTTAACTTATGCAATAAGGGGAAAATGCACTACAAGGAAGAGGATTGAGTGGAAGCATACCTTCATTATTGTTTTCAGTCATACTGCTGGCCACTGCCTAAGGCGTGGCCACTGAAATTAAGGTGAATATAGTCCCCTCCAAAGGGGTAAAAATAGACTGCATTTCCCGACCCCTACTAGTTAGCTTCTGCTACTTCTGGTTGCGCGCTACCTACAAGTGAGAGAGACATGTCTGGAACTGTTTTGTAATAAGTGACGTGGTGACTCAGTTAAATAGTTAGTAATATTTGCACATAGTGTGGTTGTGAAGCTTACAGCAGTGCTGTTTTGTGAGAGTGATGTGAGATTATGAATGTGCTAGAGATATCAATACTGCTAGAGATTGTGGAAGGAAGTATGGTGCATTGAGCAATGAGGAAGGATAGTGCTGACATCAGTGACATAACATCTGAAGAGACATCTGATTTTCATTATTCATGGGTCTTCAAACTTATTTGGCATTACAACTCCTCAAGATTACTATGATTGCAGAGATCGGCATAGCTGTTTGATCTGACTGCAGTTTCTTCCATTGCTGCATTGGAGAATCTTTGAACATTTTGATCCATTCCTGTCTGTTTTCAAGGTAAACGGCCTTGTAAAATGACTTCAATGGACTGCTAATGGCATTGTTTAATTTTGAAGGCTTTAAGTAGTGCAAGTTAACCTGAACTTGTGCTAGCTTCTTGAATTATTTTACCTCTGATTAGGAGTTTGACCATTCAGCAGCAAAGAATGTTGCACATGGCAAACATTCAGCTGAATAGTCAGCCTGAGTTTGCATTAGAAGTAATTATTACAGGTTTGTAATGCCCATGTTTGAATGTTTTTAACTTTTCACTTTTATCAGATTTAAAATTGAGCTTAAAGTGCAATAAAATGGAATTAAATTATTACTTCCTCTGCAGGCAATAGAATCCAGAGATTCAACGGCCATGGCACTTTACTCGCAATGTTTTACATGGATCATTAAAAAAATCAATTGTAGAATAAAAGGAAAGGAGGATTACAGATCTGTGGGTGTCCTTGATATATTTGGATTTGAGAATTTTGAGGTATAGTAAATAGAACTTTTTTTTTATAATAGTGTCATGAAAATTATTCTTCATCCTTCTTTTTATTTCTTTCCCTTTGGCTTGATTTTATGCACTCCCATTTATTTCTTCTGTACTTTATTTGCATTTTTTCATTCTATTTCCTGTTAATTTGCATGTAATTGCTATATTTGTCAATAGGTAAATCGGTTTGAACAATTCAACATAAATTATGCAAATGAAAAACTTCAGGAATATTTCAACAAACACATATTTTCTTTGGAACAGCTGGAATATAACAGGTAAACATTGTATCAGTTGCGGCTCAGCAATAAATAATTACAGTTGAATTATGGTTAGGGTTTACTCTTTACTCAATGAGGACTTTAAACAGTGTGAGGCTGTCTGTTGAAATGGGTTACATATCCCTTGACATTTAGTGTGTTCAGTTGTCTCACAAGTTGAACATTGCACATAAAAATTACTTTCCATCTCATAACAATGACAGTATATCTATGTATTTCAGAATACTATTTGTCACAAGAAATTCTGAAATTGTCCCGTTCATGTCTGTTTTCATTGCTTATTTCAGGTATCATTAGTAATTTTTGCTCTAATGTATTCTGAACTTCTTTTATAAGATTTGATTTCGACTTACAGTTGAGTTGTTTCAAATTGAAATCTACCGAGCTGTCTGAATGCTTTGCTCAATAAATTGGAGAGCGAGACTCAAAAACCGACAAAAGAAAATGTCATTCACATCGTAAATTATAAATGTTCAGCTCGGAGAATACTTTTAAAAACTTTGTCCACCTGTTAATATAAATATGAAATCAAGAATACTCAGTTCTGTAAGCAAACTGGAAACCTTGTGTGTATGTGTTTATTTCATTGACCAAGAATTATTTTTCACCAGAGATGGATTGGTCTGGGAACACGTTGATTGGATGGACAATGGAGAATGTTTAGATCTCATTGAGAAGGTAATGTCTGTGTTTTATTCACACCACTATAAGGGCCACACGCTAGTGAGAGTAGGAATAGGAGGATAGAGCAGATGAACGTGTGGCTGAGGAGCCGGGGAGAAGGATACACATTGTTGGATCATTGAAATCTCTTTGGGGTACAAGTGACCTGTATAAGAAGGATGAGTTGCACCTGAATTGGTAGGGGACTAATATTCTGGAGGAAAGATTTGCTAGAGCCACCTGGGAGGATTTAAACTAGTTGGGGCGGGGTGTGTCCAAGAGAGATGGTGAGAAAAGGGATTAGACCAAAGCTGGTGCAGTTGGGAAATGGAGAAAGTCAAATAATCAATGCAGCAGGAGCAAAGCAGAGATCGACATGGGACTGACAAATTAAACTGCAATTATTTCAATGCAAGAAGCCCGACATGTAAGTCAGATGAACGCGGGGCAGGGTTGAGAACATGGACCTGAGATATCATGTGTTAGTAATAAGACGTTGCTCAGGGATGGACAGGACTGGTAGCTTAATGTTCCAGGATATAGATGTTACAGGAAGGATAGAAAGTGGGGTAAGAGAAGAGGGGGAGTGGTATTTTTGATTAGGGATAACATTACAGCTGTAGTTAGGGAGGATACTCCAGGGAGTACATCCGGTGAAGTTATTTGGGTGGAATTGAGAAAAAAAAGGGATGATCACCTTATTGGGATTGTACTATAGACCCCTCCCCCCCCATCAAAAGTCAGCAGGAAATTGAGAAGCAAATTTGTAAGGAGATCTCAGTTATCTGTAAGAATAATAGGATCGTAATGGTAGGGGATTTTAACTTTCCAAACAGACTGAGACTGCCGTACTATTAAGGGATCAGATGGAAAGGAATTTGTGTGTACAAGAAAATTTTGATTCAGTATGTGGATGTACTTTCTAGAGAAGGAGCAACACTTTGAACTTCTGTTGGAAGAAAAGGCAGAGCAAGTAATCGGGGTGACAGTGGGGCAAATGATCATGATTCTATTCATTGTAAAATGGTTATGGAAAAGGATAGACCTGATCTAAAAGTTAAAGTTCTAAATTGGAGTAAGGACAATTTTGATGGTATTGGGCAAGAACTTTCAAAAGTTGATGGGGGCAGATATTCGCAGGTGAAGGAACAGCTGGAAAGCAAAAAGAAAGCCCTCAAAAATGAGATATTGAGAATCCAGAGACAGTGTGTTCCTGTTAGGGCGAAGAGCAAGGCTGGTAGGTGTAGGGAATGCTGGTTGAATAGAGAAATTGAGGTTTTGGCCAAGAATAAGAAGGAAACATATGTCAGGTATAGACAGCAGGTGAATCTCAGTATAAGGGAAGTAGGAGTATACTGGAGGGAAATTAGGAGGGCAAAAATGGGACATAGCTTTGGCAAACAGGGTTAAGGAGCATCCAAAAGGTTTCTGCAATTACATCTAAGGATAAAGAATTAATAGGGAGAGAACAAGGCCCCTTAAAGATGAGCAAGGCCACTTATGTGTGGAACTGCTGGAGATGGGGGAAATACTAAACAAGTATTTTGCATCAGTGTTTACTGTGGAGAAGGATATGGAAGCGAGAGAACTTGGGTAAATAAATGGCAATATCTTGAGCATCCATATTACAAAGATATCCATATTACATATCACTGTCCACGGGTATAGTGGAAGATTGGAGAGTGGCAAACGTCATTCCCTTGCTCAAAAAAGGGAATAGGGATAACCCCGGAAATTACAGGCCGGTTAGTTTTACTTCAGTGGTGGGCAAATGATTGGAAAGGGCTCTGAGTGATAGGATTTATGATCAATTGGATAGGCACAGTTTGATTTGTGATAGTCAGCATGGATTTGTGAGGGGTAGATCATGCCTCACAAACCTTATTGTGAGGTGACCAAACACATGGATGAAGGTAGAGCAGTGGATGTGGTATACATGAATTTAAGTAAGGTGTTTGGTAAGGTTCCCTATGGTAGGTTCATGCAGAAAATAAGGAGGCATGGGATAGGAGGATATGTGGCAGATTGGATTCAGAATTGGCTGACCCTTAGAAGACAAAGGGTGGTAGTGGATGGAAAATATTCAATATGGTGCTCAGTTACGAGTAGTGTACCATAAGGATCTGTTCTGGGTCCTCTTCTATTTGTGATTTTTGTGAATGATTTGGATGTAGGAGTGGAAGAGTGGATTAGCAAGTTCGCGGACGATACGGATGATGTGGATAGTGCGGAGGGCTGTTCTAGGTTACAAAGGGACATTGATAGGATGCAGAGCTGGGCTGAGAAGTGGCAGATGGAGTTTAACCTTGAAAAGTGTGAGGTGATTCATTTTGAAAGGACAAACTTGAAAGCAGATTACAGGGTTAACGGAAAGATTCTTGGCAGTGTGGAGGTGTAGAGGGATCTTGGGGTTCATGTCCACAGTTCCCTGAAAGCTGCCACCCAGGTGGATAGAGTTGTTAAGAAGGCGTATGATGTGTTAGCTTTCATTAATAGAGGGATTGAGTTCGAAAGCCGTGAAGTTATGCTCCAGCTAGACAAAAGCCTGGTTCGGCCACATCTGGAGTATTGTGTCCAGTTCTGGTTGCCTCATTACAGGAAAGATGTGGAAGTGTTGGGAAAGGTGCAGAGGAGATTTACCAGGATGTTGCCTGGAATGGAGGGAAGGTCTTACGAGGAAAGATTGAGAGAGCTAGGGCTTTTCTCTTTAGAATGACGAAGGATGAGAGGTGACTTGATAGAGGTGTACAAACTGATCAGAGGTATAGATAGAGTAGAAAGCCAGAGACTTTTTCCTAGGGTGGAGGTAGCTAATACGAAGGGGCATAGTTTTAAAGTGAGTGGAGGTAGATATAGGGGAGATGTCAGGGGTAGGTTCTTTACTCAGAGAGTGGTCGGGGCGTGGAATGCATTGCCGGAGAGGGTAGTGGAGTCGGCCTCATTGGGGGCATTTAAGCAGCTATTAGATAGGCGTATGGATGATAGTATAAGGTAGGGGTGGAGGTTAGATAGACCTTAGGTTTAGGGTAAAAGTTCGGCACAACATCGTGGGCCAAAGGGCCTGTACTGTGCTATACAGTTCTACGTTCTATGTTCTGTGTTCTAAAACAGGGAATTATCGGCTGGTTAGCCTGACATAGGTGGTTGGGAAAATGCTAGAGTCCGCTATTAAGGATATAATAAGTGAGAATTTAGAAAGCAGTGACAGAATCTGTCCAAGTCAGCACAGGTTCACTCAAGGGAAATCATGCTTGACAAATCTTCTGGAATTTTTTTGAAGATGTGACCAGTAGAGTGGACAAGGGTGAATCAGTAGACATTGTGTATCTGGACTTTCAAATGGCTTTTGACAAGGTTCCATGCAAGAGGTTAGTGAAGAAACATAAAGCTGATTGTATCAGAGATAATGTGTTGATTTGAATAGAGAACTCATCAGCAGACAGGAAGTAGAGAGTTAGAATAAACGGGTCCTTTTCAGAGTGGCAGGCAGTGACGAGTGGGTTGATGCAGGGTTCAGTGCTGGGATCCCAGATGTTCACAATTTACAGTAATGATCTGAATGAAGGAATTGAATGCAATATCTCCAAATTTGACAGTAAGCTGTGTTGGCAGTGTGCGCTGTGAGGAGGATGCTAAGAGGCTGCAGAGTGAATTGGATAGGCTGGTTGGGTGGGCAAATACTTGGCAAATGCACCATCATCATCATCAGCAGCAGCAGCATCAGCATCATCATCATCCCTACAGTGTGGAAACAGGCCCTTCGGCTCAACAAGTCCACACCGACCCTCAGAGCATCCCACCCAGACCTATTCCCCTAACCCACCTAACCTACACCTCCCTGAACACTATGCCAATTTAGCATGGGCAATCCACCCTAACCTACACATTTTTGGACTGTGGGATGAAACCGGAGCACCCGAAGGAAACCCACACAGACACGGGGAGAATGTGCAAACTCCACACAGACAGTCACCCAAGGGGGGAATTGAACCCGGGTCCCTGGCGCTTTGAGCAGTGCTAACCACTGAGCCACTGGGCTGCCCCGAATGTGGATAAATGTGAGGGTATTCACTTTGGCAAAATCAAGAAGGTACATTATTATCTGAATGATGGAAGTTTAGGAAAAGGTGAGGTACAACAAGACCTGGGTATCATGGTGGAACAGTCCCTGAAGTTGGCATGCAGATGCAGCAGGCAGTGAGGAAAGTTAATGGCATGCTGGCTTTCATAGTGAAAGGATTTGAGTACAGAAGTAGAGATGTCTAGCTGCAGTTACACAGGGCCTTGGTGAGGCCACACCTTGAGTATTGTGTGCAGTTTTTGGTCTCCTAGTCTGAGGCAGGACATTCTCGCTATTGAGGGAGTCCAGCGAAGGTTTGCCAGACTGATTCCCAGGCTGGCAGGACTGGGATATGAGGAATGACTGGATCGTCTAGGCTTGTACTTGCTGGAATTCAGAAGGAGGAGGGATAATCTCATAGAAACATATAAAATCCTGATGGGACTGGACTGGCTAGGTAGGGGAAGAATGTTCCTGATATTGGGGAAGTCCAGAAGTAGGGGCCATGGTCTAAGAATAAGGGGTAAGCCATTCAGGATGAGGAAGAATTTCTTTGATCAGTTGTGAAATTGTGGAATTCTCTCCCGCAGACAGCTGTTGGGGCCAGTTCATTAGATATATTCAAGAGGGAGCTGGATGTGGCCCTTGTGGCTAAAGGGATCGAGGGTCATGAAGAGAAAGCGGGAATGGGATACTGAAATTGCATGATTAGCCATGATCACATTGAATGGTGGTGCAGTCTCGAAGGGCTGAATGGCCTCCTCCTGCACCTATCTTCTATGTTCCTGTGCAGACTGGCTAAGAAGGTTGCATCATGTGGAATAGAGGGAGAACTAGCCATTTGAGTACAAAATTGACTTGAAGGTAGGGGACAGGGTTGGTGGGGAATGGTTACTTTTCAAACTGGAGGTCCGTGACCAATAGTGTGCCACAAGGTTCGGTGCTGGGTCCACTG